AGAAAATTCACCAAAACTAGTAATTATTTTGATTATTATAATAATTTGGGGTTTTTTTGGGGGGGTTGTTTTTGTTTTTTTTTTTTGAGACAAGGTTTCTCTGTGTAGCCCTGGCTGTCCTGGAACTCACACTGTAGACCAGGCTGGCCTCAAACTCAGAAATCCGCCTGCCTCTGCCTCCCAAGTGCTGGGATAAAGGCGTGTGCCACCACTGCCCAGCTTTTTATAATAATTTGTATTTTCCTTTTTATATCTTACTTATATCTTCTTACAGTCTGTATATTCTATTCTATTACTTTAAAAAATTTGGCTTATATTCACAAAGTAAAATTATAATATAAAGATTTTTCATATACCCTTTATCCAATTATACCAATAGCTAACATTTTATATCCATGTGGTAGGTTCAATATTAATAAACAGATATTTATAAGTTGTTAACTAGAGATCATAGTTATTCAGATTCCATTTGCCACTTTGGATATTTACTTCATGTGTATATGTCTGTGCCTGAGTATATTTATATGTATCGTATGTGCAGTAGCCTTCAGAGCAAACTGGAGTTACAGACAGCTGCGAGCTACCGTGTGGGTCCCGGGAATCAAAACTGGATCTTCTGTAAGAGCAGAAAGCACTCTTCACTGCTGAGCCATCTCGCCAAGGCCCTCGACCACATGTGGTTTTAATTAGTCCTTTCCCCCCATTCCAGTATCCTAGCCAGGGTACATTACATTTGATTGCCATCTCCCTTTGGGTTCTTTTTTTGGCTGTGCAGCTATTGTATAGAGGAATCCTGCTTGGTGTGCACAGTAGAGCTGGCCCAAGTGGCAAAGGCATGGGAGACATCCCCAAGGGCATGATAAGGGGAGATCTAGCCTCAACCTTTGGCAGCTGGGGTATTGGGTGAACTAACCAGGGCAGTGGTGGAGAGTTTGCCCTGGTGATGTGGGTGCAGGAGACCTGGTGGGCTGACCAACTCAGCTATACCCAGGCCTAGATCCAGGGCTTTGAGTTGGCCCACCCCAGTATCTACCCCATCTACGAACTGCTAGAGCCTGTGAAAGGGCCAGCCACTGCAGATCCAAAGCTGTAGGATCTCCAGGACACAGGGTAACAACTATAGACCCTAGAGAAGTCCCAGTGAGGATTCAATATTGATAGTGTAGCAGAAGCCAGAGGCCTCGACCCAAACCAATGACTCACTGCACTGAACATTTGCAAGTACAGATACGTGAACAAACAGGTATACTGTGTGACACACTACAGCTTCCAGGACAACTTTTTTGTTGTTGTTGTTTTCGTTTTTTATTTTGTTTCGGTTTAATTTTGGTTTTTTTTTGTTTGTTTTGCTTTTTATTTTCTTTTAGGGGATCGGTTCAAGGTTGGTGGGCAGATACAAAGGGGTGGACAGGTGAGTAGGATTGGGGTACATGATGTGAAAGTCACAAAGAATCAATAAAAATGTTTAAAACTTATTTACTGTGGGTGAGCTTATGCCACAGTGCTTTTGAGGAGGTCAGAGGGCAACTTTCAGGAGTCAAGTACTTTCCTTCTACCTTAAGGGTCCTGGATATTGAACTTAGGCCCTCAGACTTGGCAGCAAGCACTCTTATCCGCTAAGCCATCTTGCTGGCTATGCATTATCTGTATTTTTAAGAGAAGGATAAAACTGCTTTTCTACTTTCAAGACTACAAATACCTTTTCTGTCACTATCGAAAAATAGCATCCGGGTATTGGTGTCACAACCTTCATGTCTGCTCTTCCTTGTTGTATCTGGACTTCTTTCCCCCCTCTTTTTGTTTACTCGTGTTACTCTGCGCCCCCACCCCCATGCCTACCACTCTCAACTTGCTAAAGATTACTCAGACTTAACAATCATAACCAGATTGACTTGGAACTTCTAGTGCCTGCGCAATGCTCACAATCACACTTACTACCGTGTGCTGTGTCCTAGAACTCTGTTCTGTCTGGAGACTTCGGCCTACTCTACAGTCTGCAGGTCAACCTAACAAACCGGCTGCCAGCTCTCAGAAATTGGTACACAGATACAATTTGTTCAAGGTGTCCAATATTTATTCGTGATTAAGTTGCATAAACGTTATTGTTTTCTATAACTGTTATTGCATACATTTAAGGCATGCAGCATGACACTGTGAGCTACACATGACGAGGAGAAAGCCTGCTATGGGGAAGAAAGTTAAGATGTCCGTCACTCACAGTTAGCCTACTACTGTTGTTTCCTTTGTGAGGAAATCAACTAAAACCTATTCCATTAGTATGAAATCAATATACGGTTCTCGGGTTATTCATCTACTCTCTGGATGTGTTTCTTATATGTGTTACTTTTTTTCACATCTTCCTCAACCTCCCCTGTGCTTCCTCTTTCTGGTACCTGATGCTTTATCCCCTATTTCAGTGTATTTGAATATTACTTTCCATAAGTAAGTGCAAACCTAAACTCTTCTAGCCTATTTCGCAGCACAACGTCTCCCGAGCCCCTCCATACTTAGGCAAGAGACAAGATTTCTCTTTTTTTTCAGGGCTGGCAGTTCATTATATATTTAACAGTTTCTTAGTTCGTTCATTGGCTGGCACTGCCTATCTTGGTGATGGGGAGTGCTTACGTGGAACACAGCAATGAAAGTATCTTCGAGGCAGTGACATCATTTTCTCAGGTTTGTGTATGTAGTTCTAGTTTCAATTTCTCTAGAATCCCGTATATTATTTTCTAGATTGGCTCCTCAATATTTTAAAAAGCAAGGCAGTGTCAATACCAACACACCAGATTTCATACAAATTCAACTTCTGGCTGCTCTTTCAAAACTTAAGGCCTGCTATCAGGTGGCCATATTGCCACTTGGAGCTTGTACTCTGATTAAAAAGGGAACACCCTCTCAGGCTTCCCTGCAGATAACTTCTCTCCTTTGCTATATTCCTGATCCTACAAATGTTATCAGCTTGTGACCCATGAAAACCTCTTATATTGGTTAAAAGTACAAACATGAACTATTGATTTTAAAGTCTGTTTCTATTTCGATGCCTGCAGATTCCCCAGACTTCGCATATATTCATATCCAAACTTGCAATATGTTTACTTAAAATCCAGTTTCCTTCTAGTATTCTCTAAATTACCCATTTAATAGAATGATATTTCTACCACTGTTCAAATTAGAAACATCTTTACAGCTATTCTTCCTTATGCTACCCATTGCTCTTCTGTCACGATGTAAAACCTTCATGTTTTATACTTTGCTTTCACTGTCCCCAGCTTTTAAATTCTTTTTCTTTATTTAAAAACTGTTTACTTTCCAAAATGGAGCAAAATTACAAAATCTGAAACTACACCCTCAAGAAACATTCCTTTCTTCCTTTATACAGCAGGCATCTTCAGTATGTACTCACCTCCCGACCCCCTATTTCTTTGACAGAGATAATCATTTAGTCATTGTTGTACAAGATCCTAAGTCAAACACCAAGAACTGTCAAATGTGCTCCATAAGCATGAGCTTTATAAATCAATGACTTCCTCACATCACATGACTTTAAACTTTTTATATGCTTCTGTCTTGGGCTAAACTGCAGTTCTTACTGGTAACTTTTTGTTTTCCATACTCTGGATTGATTCTGCAACCATGAGATCAAATAACCAAGTCAAATTTGTTGACAACATTAAAATTAGGATTTTCTCATAACTTAAAAACTCTTTTATAGCCGGGTGGTGGTGGCTCACGCCTTTAATCCCAGCACTTGGGAGGCAGAGGCAGGTGGATTTCTGAGTTCGAGGCTAGCCTGGTCTACCGAGTGAGTTCCAGGACAGCCAAGGCTACACAGAGAAACCCTGTCTCGAAAATAAATAAATAAAAAAAAACAAAAAAACAATAAAAACTCTTTTAAATATCGAGGATGCCAGGCATTACCTCTAAAAACGTACTATTATTTATAAGACAGATCCCATAGGGGCAATGGAACAGCTGCTGGAAGGTTTGGCACACCACTATGCCAGCCTGAATTTCATGACCTACATGTGAAGGGCTCTATATCCAATTACTAATCCTCTCTCAGCTACTCTCTGCCCTGATATGGAGGCAGCTTAAAAAAGATGCCCTACTAACAGATCATAAATGGATCCACAATTTACTGCCAATGTTCAGTTAACAGAAATCTCTTGGATTTGAGAGATCCACACCAGAATCCTGGATCACATATTTTTCCAAATAAAAACAGAGTTTAAGAAAGATCTTTTCCCTCCGACTAAATTCAGAGATGTTTCAGTTCATTTAAGAGCCTGTAACATGTTCAAAGGTAAAGCAATAAGAAAAATCTAATTATGGGTCTTTATTTGAAAATAGTTATTAACTTCAAATTCTACAAGTCATCAATCAGAAAAGCCAAATTAAAGCAAAAAAACAACAACAAAAAAAAACCAGCCTACCCAACTGTTTTAGTTTTTTTCCCTCGGTTGACTTGATCTATATTTAGCAAAAAGATTATATAAGGTCAAGTATTTACAAACGATGAACTATGACTAGTGTTTTGCAAAATAGCATAGGAAAACCTCAAAGAATGGATTGTAGAGTATATGTTTTACTAAGGACATAAAAAAAAAACTTTAACATTCCCAACTTAATTTTTATTAAAATTTTCATTTTAAATTTTTTTCACTTATTAAAGACCATGTGATATTTGTAACTTGTTCCTATATAAATTAGAAATAATTTGGGCAATGCTAGGTGATTCTCTTAACACAGAAAAAAATAAGAGCATTTCAATTTCTTTAAGTGGGGCTAGTTTCGCCTCGAGACCCGAGCTTACACATGAATAAATGCCCGTGAGTAGAAACTCAAAGCGTGACAGGGAAAAAACACCTCGTGGTAGCCACTAACCATTCCCGCAAAACTCAGGTCCTGACCCCGCCCCCTACAGGCCCCTCCTCTTTCCCTAGTTTGGAGTTAGCGCAGTCCGATGACGTAAGCCGTAACTGCCGTAATCGGGCGTGCAACCACCGCCTCTGCCTCTGGGAGTTGAAGTTTCTGAAGGAGGACCAACGCGTGGAGCAGAGAGCACTTCCGAAAGGCTTTCTGACCGCACCTCGCCGTTCCCCATAGGCCCCGCGGCTTGGTAAATATGGCACTGCGGCTGTCGCGCCACTACTCTTTGGTATTCTTTCGGATGCCAAAGGACCGTGAACCACCCTATTCTCTGCTGCAATCAGGGCTTCCGGAGTAGAGGGCAAGGGCCTAGGAAGTAGTTGCGGGTTCGCAGAGGAAATGGCGCGTTTCCCCGCCCCTCCCCCCTCACGTGCCGCCGTCCAGCGTCATGATTGGTGAGCTGCGATTCGTTCGCGGGCGCAGGGCCCGATGGGGGCGTGCGCGGCCGTCCTGTGTTTGCGCGTGCGCAGCTGGCCTGTGTCTGCGCGTGGTCGTGCCCGGTAGTAGCGCCCGTTGCCCGGGGTTTCTGTTGTTCCTGGGAGTCCTACCGGAAGTGTGGCAGAAAGGGCAATGTGGCGTCTAAGGGTGGCTTGTCGCAGTGCTGCGTTGTGCCTAGAGGGCAGGCGAGGCGTTTTCCCTGCCTTTCCTCTTTTCTCTTCCTTGGGCCAGGCGGTCAGATGTAGGAAGGCGAGGGGCGGTTGCTGCAGTTGCAGCCCAGCCTCGTGGTGAGCTGAGGATGAGTTTAAGATGGACGTGTTACTGGTTGTCGCTGAAATATTTTGTGTTTAAAATGTGGTTGTACGTCCAGAGGTGTAAAATTATTCACTTAAAAAACAAAAGCTTTCCTGAGATTCCCTCCCAAGCCAGAATTCCGGCCAAAGGGACTTTAACAGCTGAACAAAGGGCTATCGCTACTGCGGTAGTGACCAACGCGTTAAAAAATACATAATATAAAAGTACCCTGAAGCAGGCATGTATTGATTTTAGCAATCACTGAAAAAGAAAGTTTAAAAACTACGAGGGCTGTTTTGTTTTAGCCGGTTTGGTAAAAGCCCTGTTTTTGTCGGGCTTTGTCTTTACCATTAGGTGACGTATGCTCTCGACACCAAATAGTCTTTGTCAGTATTATTCAATTTTGAGTTTTGTAATCCCATCTGATAACCTATATCCATGAGTTAACCATCCAGCTTTTTTTTTTTTTTCAGAGATACGCAGAAGTCTCACACTTAACGTTCTATCTTTCTGTAATGTTCTTAAGTACTTGTTAAACTTGGATTAGTGGATGAAAATGTGCTGTGAGCATCACTGCTGGTCAGGCAGGAGCCCCAGACTCGCTGCCATAGAGATTTATGACTCAAAACTAAAACCTAGTGTGTCCAAAAGTGCCATGTTTGAACACACTAGTAGACAGTCGGCGCGGAAGCGATCTTGGTAAAGTCTAGCCAATAAGACAGCCAGCTAGTATTTTATCTGCATTCATGTATTCTATAAAACGAAACATATTTCCTGTGTTGTTCAGTTCTTCTGGCTTATTTAATTAAAGCTTAGGAAACTCACCCAGCACAGTGTTTCGAGAATTGATAAAACACATTTATGTTAGGACTAGTTCATGATAGGCTGCTCAAAAATGTTACTATTCTGTGATAGGTCAAGTTAAATTTATCTGGAGACATTTTTAGATGCGAAAGACAAAGGCGCCCCCTGGTGTAAGAGAGCTATAAAACAGGGCTTTTGTAATTCTTACAGTATAGCTAGCTCAACACTTCAGAATTTGAACAACATAGAGAACTACTGAAAAATATTGCCACGGATAAATAGAAATATGCTCTCTTGGAAATTTGTTTCATAAAATGCTTCCCTGTCCATTTCAATTCTGCTTTTAAGTTTTCATGATCAATGAGAATTGGTTTTTTCACACTGTCCATGGCTTTGGGTCTACACATTTTTGAGTCTTATTTAATGCCTTTAGAGCCATCTGCCAACAGCGTCCAGTCAGCACTATCCCTCCAGTATTACCCCCACTCAAGGTTTTAGGTTACTGGGAAGTGTTGGTGTTGGAGCTGGCTTTGAGTCATAATGCCACAATTTCATTCATCTCTTTGAGATGCCTTGTTTCATAGGAATTACTAGAGACGGGAGGAGTTAGTAACTTTGATATTACTTTCTTCATTTTCTTGTAAAATTCCTTGAAATACCGTATCTGCTCACTCATCCTGTCAGTTTGAAATAAGAGTCAACTAAGTCTCAAGTAATGTGACTCTGCACATTGAAAGAGAAGCAGACTAGAACTGCTGCTTAAGTTCTGCAGAAGTTTGTCCTCAATATTGCATCGTGAAGAGTAACTGTTTTGTTGTTTGTTTTTGTTTGGCTTAGATTAACTAGCTTGCTCTGTAGGAAAGAAGAATCTCAGAATGTTTCTTAAAGCCATATTCCATTTAGTAAATCAAGCTTAGTCTGGGTAGGGACAAATAGGCAAACACTTGTACACTTTGTTATTAGTAAAAAAGACATATCAGTGTCGTTAGTCTCCTCCCAGTCAGCAAGTTGAGTTCTACCTGTTATGGATAAAGATGTGCATGGTTGGATTTAAATGAAGATTTATTTTGGTCAGCGCTAAGAATTTTGCAGACTGATTACAGAATCAATTTTTATATTGTTTTTAGCCATAACTAAAGTGTTCACAGATATACAGTGACATTTATTAGAGAGAGAAACCCTGTCTATGTCATCCAAGTTAGACAATACAGATATCCCATGAACAGAAGTGGAAGGTGTGTATGTATATGTGCTTTAATCAATAATATAACAGGAGTATTAGTATTTGCATTGACTCTCAGATTTAAATATAAGCATTACCTCTCATCAATAAGTAATTTTGGAAATACCATTTTTACTGGCTGCTTAGTATGAATAACTAACCTATATTATAGAAGAACCATAGATTGTTTACTCTTTGCTGACACTCAAGTAACTTTTCACATTTAAAAATGTTAGAATGAATAAATTATGATGTAAATTTTAATGTATGTTTCTGACTTGCTTATAGGAATTTATTGTAAGAAGATACATTTCTAGGTCAGAAACTGTCTGCAGTAGTTCAGTTCCCTGTTGCTGTGATAAAACACTCCATCCAAAAATAAGTTAGAGGAAGGATGGCTCTGGCTTATGCTTCTAGATCACAGTTCATCATTGAGGAAAGTCAGGGCATGATGTAAGGCAGAGACCATGGAGTCTGCTTGTCAGCTTACTCCAGTGCTCATACTTAGTTAGCTTTCTTAAATGTCCAGGACCCCCTAGGGATGGCACTGCCCACATTAATAAACAGTCAAGACAGTTCCTCACAGACATGGCCACAGACCTTCTGGGCAGTGCCTGTGTTGTTAACCTTTCCCCTCTATCCACAATTGAGCCTTCCTCACATGACTCTGGGCCTGGGCTATGTCACCTTGACAGCTAAAGCTAACTAGGCCACTGTTGGTGCATTTACAACTCTCAAAACCTACTTGCATTCTGGAAAAAACATATGATGACCCTCTCTATTATATGTAAACACTTATTTCTTCTATAGTCCTTCCAGTACCGTCAGTGAATGGTATTTAATTCATGTCAAATGATAAAGATCTTTGCCAGTAAACAGAATTCATCTAAATTTGTATTTTTATCAATGATAGAGCTTAACATCTAGTGGTCTCTATTGGCCAAAGTTATTTTACTTTGTAAGTTATTGGTTCATGTAAAAAATTTTGCTTTTCAAATTTTTCAGAGGCAACAAATTTGTCATCTGAAATGCTGCCATCATCCATTGAGCCTCCTAATGAGGAAAGAAAGCCTGATGCGAGTGACGGTGAGGAGGAGAGACAGAAGCCGGGAGTGGATGCAGGGGCTGAGCCGATATCTAAACGACAGCTGAAGAAGCTGATGAAACAGAAACAGTGGGAAGAGCAGCGGGAACAGCGCAAGTGCGTACCTCAGAGCATGCGCCGTTTTACTGAGAAACGGGGAATCGGGTCCTGTTAAAAGCTGTCTACACTGAAACAGAGTCATGAAAAAATAAGGTTATGTGTGTTATTAGCTGACGCCGAGTTGCAATTAAAAGCACATGTGTTTTGAATTGTTACTTCGTTTTTTGCAATACCTAGACTCTGCCCCCTTTCCCACATAAGACTGCCTGCCTAACAGCAGATCTCTAGGATGGCTCAGACAAGGGCGCTGGTATCCATGTCTGAGTCTGCATAAGGCAGCAACGCAGGAAGGTCAGCTTTGGCCTGACATGATGTGGCTAATAGAGGATTTCATGAAAGCCTTTCTGTTTTAGCCATTGTCTAATGCCAAAATTTATAAGAGACTAGAAAAACTTGGGCTTTTGTTTTTGTTCTTTTAGTAAATTTAGTGAAATTTTCTTTTTAGTATTCCATATGATATTGAACTAGAAAATCATTTAGGGGATGAGTTGTGAATCAATTCTTTATAAATCATAAGTTTCTCTTAGTCCTATATGATATTAGTAATGAAACTATTGAATAATGAGTTAATCATTTAAAAAGCTCTATATTAGCTTTGCAAAGTTTTCTTCATATGTGAAGTTATTGTATGGAGTAAATCAAGTTACTACGATCTGACCCATTTCTCCCCACAGAAGAGATATGTCACACAACCATGACTACTTTAAAATGTAATTTTTTGTTTAATTAGAAGTTTGTGAACATCTTAATATACAAATAACAAAAAAAAATGTCATTTGCTATTTTAGGGAAAAACGAAAAGAAAAACGCAAGAGAAAGAAGCTAGAACGACGCCAGATGGAGTCCAACTCAGATGGACATGACAGGAAACGCATTCGAAGACAAGTTGCTCGTAGCAGCCTCCGCCTGATCATCGACTGCAGCTTTGATGAGTTGATGGTATTAAAGGTATCACGAGGTCCCTGTGTGTGAACTAGGTTAAGTGACCTCTATTTTCTTATGCAGTATTACAGATGGTGTTTATATATTAGACTACATCGTAAGTTTTTCAAACTCTCTTACTCCTAAATTAAGTGCTTTGATATGTATAGCCTATTTATGTATATGTTTATATATGCATAGACAGACATTTACCTCATAATTAGATAATAAAACTCAGAAACCACATACTAGTTATAAAGATTATGGAATTGCATGATGGCACGTGTCTGTAATCCTACAACTTAGATAACTTAGTCAGAAGGATCTCAGAGTTTTAGGCCAACCTAGGGTATAGCACATTTGAAGCAAGCCTGGACTACTTAGTGAGATCCTATCTCAAATTAAAAAAAAAAAAATCTGTAGCACAGCTGGAGAGATCTCAGTTAAGAGCACTTTTTGGTCTTGGAAAGGACCCAGGTTTGGTTTCCAGTAGTGACATAGTGTAGTGACTCACAACTATCTGTAACTCCGGGTTCAGGGCCTCTGACCCCCTCTTCTGGCCTCTGCAGGCCCTGCATGAGCATGGTGTACAGACATATATCCAGATGTACGTGCATTCACACACACACACACACACACACACACACACACACAGTTTGTTTTAAATCTGGCCTTTTCCCAGTGCTGCTAGGGTAAGGTGTGGAAATAGCATAATTCTACAAAAGAAATTGTTTGTTGCTGTCTGTTAACACAGCGTCAGTAGCATTTCAGACGGATAGAAGCTTTCAGAGGCCAGGTGACTGACAGAGCATCGTCTTTACAGGCAGTCATTTTGTTAGTGTTCAGGAACATCAAATGAAAATCATCATAGTCGTGTTCCTTTTTAAAAGAAAGACTTTTGCCTGTCTGGACATTTCTTCTGCTTATTCTGTTCCTGTAATACCATAGAAGGCCTTAGATGACTTTGATAACTCTCTTTCTTAAATTGTGTTATTTTATAGGATATTAAGAAACTTCATAAACAGATTCAACGATGTTATGCAGAAAACCGCCGAGCACCTCATCCCGTACAGGTGTGTGTGAAGGAGGCTCCGCTTCCATTCCTGTCTACCATGACAGGAAGCTTGAGTCTCTCCAGCTGCTCTTCCCTGACACTTGTAGGCTCCTGTATCGTGCTTGTTTGACGACTTTTCCTACGAGAATATGTTGGACATCACTGTCGTTCCCAGACTCTCCCTCACCAGCCTCACACCACTGTGTAGTGTTGGGTGTCTTTGTTTAGGATACGTGAATATCTTCACGGCAGTTCTCAGCTTTGATTCTTTCCAGCTGTGGGAAGTGGGGAGAGAGAGGAAGTAGGCTGCCACAGCCTGTTTGTACCGCAGGGCCTCTTAGACGTGTTCTGTTTTACTTTTCCTTTTGAGCTACCGACAGTTGTGAGAAGGGTTTCTTAACTTAGAGAGCAAATGTGGACACTAGCTGACTGCTGTTGTGAATGCCACCTCAGTGACATGAAGAGCCAGGAACTCCCGTGGATATTAGCCAAGTGGACGCAACATGGGACTGGGCTTTTATATAATTTTATACCCTACAGTAGTGACACTCTTTGTGTCTTTCTTTTTATTCCTGCAGAGGCCCTCAGCATCCTTGATTGAGCTTTTGTCATTGAGCTATTGAAATGTCAGGGAAGGCTCAGCAGCAGCAAAAATAACAGTGATAGTTAGACACCTTTCCCGGGGAGGTGGATGAGAGCTTGGTGAAAACCAGGGAGTCTGTAGAATGCTCATCAAAGGTAGACAGATAATAACCTCTCAGCTGAGAGGTGGGGTGGAGGTGCAGGCAGCATGGCCGGAGCTGGTCGGTTGAGGAGACCCCACTTAACACGGGCTCTTTCTCCCGCTGAGTCAAGTCAGGCGCTCAGAGTTGATCACAGTTCTTTTTCTCTAGCTCAGTGAAAACTACTTTGTGTTTTCCTGGTGATGAGGGGATAAAACAGTAAGCTTAACTGACCGGATTTCTCCCTTTCCTCTGCCCACCAATTGTTCACCAGTTTTACTTGACAAGCCATGGAGGCCAGCTGAAGAAGAACATGGATGAGAATGACCCGGGGTGGGTCAACTGGAAGGTAGGAGGCAGGCCAAGGTCTTCAAGCTCCCCAAGGCCTTGTGTTTGTGCTGTTTGTGGTGTACTGCAGAACTCTGAGTGTCGTTATACCATGTCTAAAGTTCCACAGGTAGACGCTACAGAGGAGGCTGACGTGGCTGCTCATTGCGTTTCTCTCATGAAGCTTGTCTGCCATCCTAAGCCACTGCCTTAGAAAAGAAGTATCTAAAGGCCTTGATAAGATTTTTTGCTTCAAACTCACTCTAAAATTGAAACTTTCTCTACATTTTGTTTCTTCTAAATCCATACTGTCCATTCTGTGACCAATAGCCAAACGTGGTTGTACATTCCTGAGATGTGAGACTCTGGATTGTGAGTTGGCATGTGCTGTAAATGTAAGATTTGCTGACTTAGAAGGGTGGGGGCATAACACGGGCATATTATATTAAAATATACTGAAGGTCATTTATCTATTTTTTACTTTTTTAGTGCAGCTTCTAGCAGATTGAAAAGTATCCTTATAATTTCCCTGTTCTAGGTATATGTAAAGATGTAGTCAGCTTGGCTCGGTGCCAGTGTGCCCATCTTGGCTATGTGCAGATGTGGCTATGTACAAATATGACCAGCTTGGGTAGGCATAGACGTGGCCAGCTTGGCTCAGTACAGGTGTGGCTGTCTTGGTTCAGTACAGACGTGGCCAGGTTGGCTCAGGACTCCTGTGCTCAGTGGACTGCTGTGTTATGCCTGTACATGTTGTTTACTGTTTGTTTTCAGCTCCCACTGTCCTGCTTTCCCCACTAGTACCTACTAATCTAATAGCTGCACATATTAAGAGCCCAAGTGCAGACATTTGCAAGAAAAGTATCCTTAACCAGTCTTTAGATTCACGTCTCTTTCTAAGAAATAATGAATATGTTAGACAAACGCACTTTATAGTTTGTATCTTTCTAAGCTTATTTACATCCTTGGTTTTCTAGAGACATACAGACTCACTGACTTCTAACTACTCAGATCCTTCTTGAGGCCGTTAAGTATAAGAGTCAGATTTATAGCATATTCTTTTTCAGAAAAGCAGTTGTATTAATCAGTAGTACCAATCTAAGTGTCTGCTTCATTTGATTTTCTTTAAAATTATTTTATAACAGTCAGAGTCTGGAGACATATCGTTCCAGCAGTTAGTGTGACTTGGGAAGTCTTAGAGCTCTTACTCAGCCTTGTGTCAGTTTTGACGAAGAAGCTTTCAGATGTGTCTCCTTGTAGAAACAGCCACATTCTATTAAATTGACACAGTTTCCCTTTGATAAGTCACATGGGAGACATTCAAAAAGGCATTTCTTGTCTGGAAAACAATATGATCAAGAAGGCAGGAAAATGCATTTTTATTTTTATTTTTGAAATAGAGATAAGTGAGAAAGGCAGGGTGATGCAGTATTAAGGAAAGAGCCCCTGGGTTGAGTTGGAGTTGACCCTACAGGAAAAGCTAGAGAATACAAGTGAGCTTTTAGAGACTCGGCTTGCCATTAGTAGATTAGGAACTGAGGCCCCAGCCAAGGGAAAATAAGATTGGTAGAATATTTCAAGGACTGAGATACGAGGGAAGGAGTTGGCTATGGAGTTTACATGATACTCTAACAGTAGCCTCTCAAGCTTGATATCAGGTGGTTTTGGACAGGTTTATTTTGAGAAAAGAGGCTGTCAGTTCAGCCAGCTTTCAGTGTCCTGCTAATGACACACTTGCTCTCCTTTGTTGTTGAAGGATATTCACATCAAGTCAGAGCACTATAGTGAACTCATAAAAAAAGAAGACCTGGTTTATCTGACGTCGGACTCACCTAATGTACTGAAGGACTTAGATGAGTCAAAGGCCTATGTGATTGGAGGGCTAGTGGACCACAACCATCACAAGGTACTGCGCCGTGCTCCTCCTCAAAGCCTGGCAACATCCTAACAGTGCATGCTCTTGAGCACCTACTGCTGTGGCGGTGACCTAAGCTAAGCAGAGAGGTCCCCTTAACGTGTGTGACCCTCCTGCAGCTCAGGGAGGCCGCTGCAGCTATTGTCTCCATTCCCCAGTTGCAGGATCTGAAGAACAAAGAGATTCCACCTAAAGTCCACCGTGGCAGGTGGCAGAGTCGATTGTGAGAACTGACCAGCTAGCTGGAGAGTCTGCAGGTTTATCTGTGCTGCTGGAAGCTCTGATAGTAACGAGTTCCTAAGCCATTCAAGTTTATACTAATTTTTAAGATAGTTAATTTTTCTGTGTCTGACTGTTTTGCCTGCATGTATGTCTGCTCTATGTGCTTGTCTGATGCCCCTGACGGTCAAGAAATACTGTCAGATTTTCTAGAACTGGAATGACAGATAGTTGTGAGCCACACTGTGTGGGTGCTGGGAACTGAACCCGGGTCCTCTGGAAGAGTAGTGTGCTAACTGCTGATTCATCTCTCCGGCCCTATACTACTTTTTAAATATATGTTTTCTCACTCATTTTTTTTTCTTGCTGCATGTTTTTATATAGATAAAAAGTTACTTGCTAAAGAGAATATTACTGTGTACTTTGTGACATGCTCAATTCATCTCAGTTTTCTAAAGGAAAGGTATGTTTTCTAAGTGAAGAAATATTGTAAGCACAGTGTATGAAGTAACTGTACACCCCAGCAGCAGTGTGCAAGGAGAATGTCTCCCACGTCACACATGATCACACCTGCCTGTCCGCTGGTTACTGCATGGCTGTGGGGCTCCTAGGTGTAATGTGGCTGAGAAACTGGATTTTTCTTTTAATTGTAATTTTGAAGTTGTCAGATGTGGCTAGGCATTAGGTGAGCAGCTCTAGACTATCCCAGGGGCCTCCTCAGAGTGGTCATTAGCCTTTCTGTTGTCAGTGGGGAGTTCTAATTTATAATATATGTGCAAACATCCTCTGCTGAGTTGTGTTTGTTTCTCTAATAAAGCATTTTTATTTCAAAAATCCCCTAGCTCCTCTAACTTTTTTGCCCCTACATAGGCTAAGTACTTGTTAAGAAATTCAGCTTATACTTCCTAGACAGCCTTTTTGTCTGGGATAGGCAAAGATTTTAAGCATTTTCTTAAGTTTGAGAAAATATAAAATCCTTACCTAACAGTTAGTTGGTAGAAGGGAAAAATAAAATGTAAGAAAAAAAATGAAATACTCTTCACTCGGGGCTTTATTTCATTGACATATTTGTGTCTTTGTGTATAATTGAGATTGAATTTCCTTTAAAATTTTTTGTAGCAGAATTTTAGCAGAGCCATTGTATCTGGTATGAATTCTGAGTAATGGCACCTGGGCTTTGAAGTAACCTTAGGTAAATAGTCAGTGACTGTTCTTTGAGATTTTATGGGGTTGTTCATTTGAAGGATTCTTAGAGCCTTTACAGAACAGTCTGGAAGACTTACCTAGCAAACCAGGAAGTCTCCTATGGCTGAGAACTGCTTAGGTAATGGTTCCTTCTGACAACCCCTAGATCGTATAAGAGGTTCTGGTATTTGGAAATTGGCTTGCTAACAGTGCCTTTTATGTTAAGTAAAAAGCACTTGTGCTAAGCTGTAGTGTTCAGTCCGTGAGAGGCTGACCCCCATGCCGCTGAGGACCCTGAATGCATCTTGTTGTGGAGTCTCTCTGTCTTTCATCAGTTATCCAGCATGACCTAGAACACCAACATATTTTACTCACAGAGAGAATGATGGTGCTTCTCTCTCTCGAGTTCAGATGGATTGTTTCATTGAGAGAAATGGAAAGGGAATAAGCAGAGAGGAAATCCACCAGGATTTCTGCCACTGAGAAGCTTCCTACCTGCTGAGAACATCTTTTCTTCACCCCACAAAATGAGGTGGTTAAACAAAGACTGTAAATGCTTCTCCTGTCAGGACTTAAAACACAAGCTATCCTGGTGTTTTCTGTACTCAGGTCCTTTCTGAAAAAGATCTCCATTGTCCTAGACTACACAACACCTGAGTCCCAGTGTCTTTGTTTCCAGGGACTCACATTTAAACAAGCATCCAGTTACGGAATTGAACATGCACAGCTTCCTCTTGCAGATTTTGTGAAGATGAATAGTCGAAAAGTCCTGGCGGTTAACCATGGTAAGCTGCTGAGGTACCCTAAAGTGGACCTAAGTGAACCCTGAAAGAGACGGTGCAGTTCAGATTTGGACAGATAGAAAGAAGTCATGTGTTCATTAGAAATAAAAGGGGATACTTTAGACATTTTTGAAAATGTACAAAGTATAAACACAACTAGCTATAAAACTCACAGGTTCTTGTACTTGCTATTAGCTTTTGGATGTGTTTCCTCCCAGTTTTTTTTCTGTGACTGTGGTCTCTTATCAGCTTTACTGATGTAGGATTCTTATCTTCACTTCGTTGGAGTTTCTATGGGATTGATTTTTAGTGACTATATGATATTCCATCCTCTAAATAGATAATCATTTAATCATTCTCCCATTGTTCAATATTTTTAATTTGTTTTATAATATAAAAATATAAATTTCAATATATATTTTTTTGCTATGCAGTGCCCCAAATTAACCTATAATCCACACCTGTCCAAGAACCAGGTAACATCATGGAATGCTGGGAATTGTAGTTCTTGGAAAATAACAAAGCTTCATGGGAAAGGACGGTGACCTATAGGTTTGTCCTTATAAAGCCCTTCAACATTCTCAGCTGTGAAATTCCAGGGAATGGTCCTGACCAAAGCCCATCTCTTGGTCAGTATTTAATATGTAATAAACCTTGCCTTAAATTTGGCCCTAATGGTAGAATTTGTTTTTCTCTGGCGAATCTCAAGATTAACAGCTGTCATGAGTTACAGGCAATTATAAGCAGCCATGTGGATATTAGGAACTGAACTCCAGTCCTCTGTAAGAGCAGCCAGTTCTCCTACCCACTGAGCCATCTCTCTAGTGCCTTTAATAAGGAACAATTTTAGTCAGTACACAATAATTTACGTAATCCTAAATACTTTTTATATAGCAGACTATATGGAGTTAGAGAAATGAAATTAATTATTCAAGGAACAAATTTCCTCTAAAAACTTTGATACCTAGTGGAAATTCCTTTTCTTCAAAATAACCTGGAAAGCCCTTCCATAGTGTGGTGAACCTAGGGATGGCATTGGTTTCCTTTCTACTACTGTGAAAGCAAGAGCAGGAAGCAGGCAAAAACTCCTCACAGTGGCTCTTTGTAGTGAAGATAGAAGAAGCCGAGCTGAAAGCTAATAATTACCTGTGAGTGTTAGTACGTAAGAGATGAAGAATATGACGGAGCGCTATCTTGGTTATAACACACACCTGATGCTAGTAAGTTCCTGGGGCTTAAGAGCTGACCAAGGGGAATCTGGAAAGGACAAAAGGGCTGGAGAACCATGGGCAGGTTGTCCTTGATATCGAAGAGGAGACAGAGGTAAGTAATTGGGACAGGTGAGCACTCAGCACAGGCTCACAGTGCCAGCCCGTGTGCAGCCTCATGGTGACCTTGACTAAGAAGCATCTGCATTTGTCCTCGTTGCAGTGTTTGAAATTATCCTGGAGTTCTTGGAAACAAGAGACTGGCAGGAGGCATTTTTTACAATCTTGCCCCAACGGAAAGGAGCTGTTCCTGCACACACGGCCTGTGAAAGCTCTCCTCAGGACCACCAGTCCCTGCCAGGAGGATGGGACAGTGCCAGCGAGGGGGAGCATTGCAGGAATGACCCTGACTCACCACAGAAAGAGGAGCAGGGCCAGCAAAGCAGCCCGGGTTCTGCAGTGAGCCCTGCCCCACAGTAACCTTCCCCTGATTTCCTCTCGCTCAAGAGAAACTACACAGTGCGGTGCTTCACAGCATGCTCAGACTGCAAGAAAATTTTCTCTCGTCTCTGTTGTGGAATTTTAAATTTTCTTAAAAAGTTAAATAATAATGAAAAACCCTTTAAGCACTAAGAAAGGATTATTTGGTTTTGGGTAAGAAGACTTAAAGGTATTATTTCAAAATTGCTTTAAGCCTCAAATCAGTCCTGGGGGACGTTGTATACAAGTCTGCCTCCATTTCTCATTCACTGGAGCGTATCCTCAGGACGTGCCTTCTGACCTGTGAGCTCGGCTCTTTCCTGTTCCTGCCTGTGTCTTTTTGGTCTGATGTCTATTTGTTGGAGCAGATATTCATACTGTCCTCTGAGTCTCTAGAATGCTGAACTTGGGAAGCTAAGCTTTCTTCTGTGGCTTCGGTGTTCAGTTTTCTCTAAGAAATACAGTAATTCTAGGAGATTATCAGTTGTTTGCTGGGCTCAACAATTCATTCCCATTGGACAGTGGAGTCCATTCCTGTGCCTCCTTTATGATACCTTATGTTTCTGAAACAGTCACAAGAATAATCTTAAATCCTGTCGTGACAATAATTTATCCAATTACACAATTAAGCTTTGCTGGCTAGATTATTTTATAAGCTTAATTTTGAAGGCTCAATTTGTCTTTACCTCAGTTTAAAACAAATAAAGTTATCCTCTCCCTTTATTTTCCATATATATATATATAACATATTTCCATGTTGGCTTTTAATGTGAATATTATACATCTGCCTCCTACTATAATATTCCAACTAATGTAAATGTGTTTCTGTAAATAACATGCATGTAGGAAAATGTGCATGTATTCATGTTTACATCTGTCCATGTCACATTTAGCTTTCATGCCTTAATCACATTGACAGGACTGTATGTGTTGTTTGTGGAATGGTTGTGTTGGATTCACTAGTTTGAATTCATTAAATGGGAATTGAACAGTGGTTTAGAAACTGATGGAGACAGAGCAGAGGGATGCCATTGGCTTCTGCACAGTATTTGCAGATCACGTGCCCTTACATGTGCCGGGCAACTCCAGGAGCTCTCACTGAACTGCGATGAACCAGTTTCTGGTCTTTTCTCTTTATTATACAGTGTATGTGCTCATTAGAATTGGTATTGACGTTCACTGCCTATTTTTGTTGTTTAATTCTTAGTTACCTATTGTAGCTAGCTCCTTCAAAGTCTGTAAATGATGTAAACAGTCATAGGATAGTTCTAAATGAATAAAGTTCATGTTGTTACTGTACTTTTTGAAGATTCAGATTTTGTGAGATGTCCTCCATGTGCTCCATGTGTCTCACGTTACTGGTTTGTGTGGACACTTGGTATCCAGGCGATGGTACTGTTATGGAGGTTTGTAGGACCTTTCGTAGGAGAAGCTTTGCTGGAGGAAGCATGTGACTTAGGGCAGGCTTTTCAGTCCTGGTTCTTGTGCTATCAAATGTGATCACCACTTCCTGATATCCGGGCCAACCTGATGATCCTGTGCCAGGGCTTCCCTGCCACGATGACGCTATACCTCCTGTAGAGCTCTAAACCAAAATAAACTCTTCCTTCCCTACTGGCTCTTTGTCAAGGTGTTTTGTCAGGTAGCAACATAAAAATATCTAATACATATCATTTTATATGGAATTAGGACCCTACTTAATTATAAAAGTGAAGGAAATTATTTCAAGTACCGCATGGTTTAATTTTCATTAATTGCAAAAGCTCTGTTGATATCCTGGGCATGCTATAAGAAGACACCACAGACCTAGTGGGCTAAAGTAAGCACAACTTATGTTCTACAGTTTCTGAGCTGCGAGTTCAGAAGCAAGCCTGTAGGGCCATGCTCCCCCTGGCTCACAAGATGTCCTTTTAACCTTAATGTGTTCTTTTCTCTCAACTTTTTTTTTTCCTGTACAGCAACAGATAGAAAAGGAGAAAAGAATAGGTAACAATGATTTGAATTAATGGCATCAGAGACCTAAAGTAGTCAGCGAGTGAGCTCATGGAGGTCCTTGTCCCTCTTTCCCTAGCTCACTGTGACAGCATGTGCAGTGAGCTTAGTATGTATGAAGAAGAGAGTGACGGCAGCCTTCAGAGCCAGGATTGTTGCTGGGGAGGTTAGGGGATTAGATGAGGCGTAAGCCTTGGTACTCTTATGTTTACATTGTGAACCTGGGTGTGTTAGAACTCAGTGTCCTTATTTAGAATGTGACTGTTACATACCGATCCTGTCAGCGCCATGTGAGGTAACCAGTGGGGATTTGGTGATGGCTTTCTGCCTCTCCCTGTTTCTCTTCTCCCTTGCCCTTGCCTGCTCTAAAATTCAGTAAACCTGCTTCAGACTTTGTTCCTGTAGAGTACAAGGCTTGACAAGATTTTAAAAATCTGCTTTCTGCCAGAACAGGGGCAAAGAAATGGATACATGTTATTTAGTGAAGCCTTTATTGAAACAGTGAAAATAATGCTAACATAAAACACAATCATGCAAGACCAAATCCATATGTTCTGTCAGCAGATGTTAATATTAGTATTAAATATTAATATTTTTACATTTTAATGACTAGCTAAAAATGTTAATGTCTACTTTTAAAATAGTAATAATGAAATTTAAAAATAAGAAAAAGGGCATACCAAGCTAATAACAAAGACCTAACATTTGAAAAACTTTAGCATTACACATAAGCAAGGGGAAGAGGGGTGCTGCAGTGAAGAAGGCAGTTCCTAGTCTTCAGTCACAACCAGAGCTACTCTATATCACAGCACAAACTTAAAGACAACTTTATGAGGGTTGGGTGGAATAGAAACACATCAGTATGGGAAATTTTAAATCATGTTCCCTCTGCCATGACAGTGTAAATGCATAAAAAATAAATATACAGAAAGTAGAAATAGTTTAATTAATAACAGGTCTATCTAGATCAAGATCCATATGTGGAAAATAAAAACAAAATTGAATTTCTTTTCCATCATCTGTGGAACATTTCTAAAATGTGGCTATATTGGACTGCCAAGGAAAATCAAAACTTAAACTCTAAAGCCAGGCTGTTTGTAACAAAGCATTACAGTGCAAACAAACCTTAGAAGCTGGAGAGATGGCTTAGTGGGTAGAAGCACTTGTCATGCAAACATGAAGTTCAAATCCCTCGGTTCAAATCCTCAGACCCCCACATGAAAAGCAAGACACAGAGTGAGCACCTACAATCCCAGTGTTTCTACTCAGAGATGGGAAATGGGAACAGTCCCCAGGAACTTGCAGGGCAGCTAGCCTGGCACACAAAGCAGAAACATCAGCAAAGAGACCGTGTCTCACAAAGGTAGAATGGGACTTACATCTGAGATGTGGTTGTCCCTTCTCCCAGGAGCTGTTGGCCACCGGCCCACAAGCACAAAGAGAGCAGAGTGGAAGGATGGTTTGGACGACCTTAGAGTTTTAGTTTGGATTACTGACTTCCAGGATCAGCTTCAGTGAGGCAGCTCAGCTTTACTCAAGGGTGAACGGAGCATGGGCTCTATAGGTATTTTTTGGGGGGGGTGGGTGGGGGGATTTCCAGGGTGGGCATATATCATTCATTGGCTGGCGCTTAAGGTACTAGGAATGATGATTCCTTGCATGGAGAGGCATCCCAGGTGCTTGCTGGACAAGTTCTCATTGGGAGAAAGGAAATTGAACCTGTAATCTCACCAAAAACTTCGTGACATGGCTCAGGTAGAGAGAGGATGTAGGGGTTGGACTGGGAAGTCTGACTGGGAAAACCCTGGGAGGCCCTGCTGGGAAAGGGAGTCCTCCAGAACCTGACTGGCAGTGATTTTTGCAATGCTACTTATGCTGGTTTAAAAATTAGACGAGACAGGATACAAGCATAAAAATGAAACGTCATCAGAGGACTTACAAAGGGAGGAGCCAAGAACAAAGCATTTTTGGAACCAGGACAGAGGTTCTTGGGGTGGATGTCAGGCTAGGAGAGCATTGTGTCAGCTCCTAAGGGGTTTTACAATTTGCTCTACCAGATTAGATTCAGGAACAAAGAAACAACAATTCTTCCCCCACCAAACCACACAGCTTCCCCCACACTCAGTAGTTATCAAGACCTCTCTGATTTTGGAGCACGACCCCTGCAAGAGACTTCATCTGTCTGTCCTTGGAGGGACTCACGGCTGTCAGTTGTAGATGCCATCACCTGGCAGAGCTTGTCTTCAAAGTCTCCTGCCAGGTGGTGTGTCTTTGACAATCGCAGCTGTTGTGGCCCCAGCAGATCCAAGGGAGATGTCGAGTCCCAGTCCTTCGAGTAAAAGGATAAATATTTTCCGACTCTGGTTTGTGGAGCCGTGCAGCCTCCTCCTTATAGAGACCGGTCTGTGGAATGATGATAACGAGATCCAAAATCCTGGCAGGGGAATATCTATACAGGAAGTTATTTTTCTTTGTTTTGTTTTTTTGTTTGTTTGTTTTTTGAGACAGGGTTTCTCTGTATAGCTCTAGCTGTCTTGGAACTCACTCTGTAGACCAGGCTGGCCTCGAACTCAGAAATCCACCTGCCTCTGCTTCCCAAGTGCTGGGATTAAAGTTGTGCACCACCACTGCCCACCGGCATTTTCTTTAACACCAAAGAAAGGAAAGGAGGCTGTGCACAGGTTAACGGGTTGAGTAGCAGCACAGTGGCAGTCTGTTGGCATAGGCCTAGGAGAAATGCAAAAGGTTATAGTAGAAACCGGGAATGTCACAAAGGCTTGGTCCTGTCATTTCTCTCAACTGGAGTTCCCATTAAAATATTCATGGGCACTGGAGCAAGTAGGTGGCGGGTTCTAGAGGTGCAAAAGACAGTGGGGGGCATTCGGGATGGTATACAGGAGGAGGTCTGCAACATCAGATGTACCAACTCTAGGATGTGTTGACTCTACTTGTTCCTCCATTTGTTTTTTCCTGCAGAGCAGTGTGATGCGCCAGTCTAGGCTTAGCTTCAGGCAAAAGCTATTGAGAGTTATGGAAGTCAGCCGTAGAGTCTCTAGTAAATTCACCTGTGTAAAACTAGTTCCTTACCTTGCCAGCGATTGTGCCGAGGATCTGTCATGTATATTACAGAACAGGGGCTGTCACTGTCCACTAAATAGACGGTTCTGTTATGTCCTGTCATTGCACCAGCTGATCCTCAGTGAACCCACGCTCCGTCCTGCAAGAGCGGTGTAACAGCCTCCATAGGTGTGGACACCCTGGAGGCACAAGGGGTCTGTCTGTCTGAGGAGAGGAAAGCAAGCACATTCAGCAGCACACACACGTGTACACTGGCATTTGGGGATACAATCTCTAGGGAGTGTTGGCATCCCACCAATGGGCAGTCTCTGGTCCCCAATTATCTGATCTCTCCCCTCGAATGTTTCCCTGACACAAAATCAAACCGTTGTATTAGGAAGAATGGGGCTAGGCGAGGCATTGGTGTTAAGCATGCTAGAAACAGGCATTGACAGAGAAAGAGGCTGGGGGTAGGGGTGGGGGCCTCCGTCCAAGTGATCCGGTTGCTGAATGCTCGATGGCAGGGAGCCTTGTCCTTGGTTTTAAGTGTTTGATGTATTCTTTCAATAATGGCTGGCCCTGGGGATTGTGAAGTTTGCCAGTGTGGTGGGCTATTTTCTAAGCTAGAAAATTTGAAACTGGAGGTTCTTGAAGGCCAGACCAATATCAGTTTTGATCTGTAGAGGGACCCCCATGACAGAAAAGGTGGAGAGCAAGTGATTAATTTATTTCTGAGTTTTCATTAGTCCGTGCTTTAGCTCAGGTGAAAGAGGAATAAGTATCTATGTAACAAATACAATTTCTTGTTTACCAAATGATTGGTTATGGATGACATCTATTTGCCAGAGGGCATTGGCCTTAAGGCTTCTGTGGTTAGTGCCCAATTGTTGTATAGCAGGGGTGTGAATTAGGGAGGCACAAGAGAGCAAGTTTTAAGAATATGATTAAGGTGTTTTGTTGGGGCTTGGGGGGATTTAAGTTGGAACCCTTTCAAGTTGATATAGATCAGTTTATGGAGTTCTTTACCAGTGAGGGGAGACACAGTGAGGGCCCCAGTTGTGGCAATCCTCGCAGCTAAGATGTTCTCAATAGGGAGGGCTCAGGGAGGGGTAAGCATGACCTTATATGACTGACAAAGATGGGGCATGTTCTTGCTTGGCTATATTTGAACTTTTTATTCACAGAGGGGAGAGAAGGTTACCATCAAGCTTGACATAGGAGCTGGCTAACCAGATAAATGTTGTCTGAGTATAGATTAAATGATTCTTTAGGTACATTAGAACCAGAAAGATAGTATACTGTTCCTTGAACTAGGGAGAACTGTCTGGGAAGAAAAAAAGATGGAATTCAGTGTCACCGTCTCCTCTCTATATATATCACAAAGGCAACTCTTTCTCACCATCCGTCTATGAAATGTCAGAAGGCTAAAGACATGCAAGTGACTTTCCTGGAGATGGCCCACCATTTTGCATGTCCTGAGATGGGTGAGCTCTGAGAATGAATGGTTCTTAGACTTCATCGCAGAATTGCTTCTCGCTGGTGATAAGCCTTTTCTGTCACTATTACGT